GGAGTGTTCCTCCCTCTGCTATATTTTGGAAGAGTTTGAGAAGGATAGGTGTTAGTTCTTCTCTAAATGTTTGATAGTATTTGCCTGTGAAGCCATCTGGTCCTGGGCTTTTGTTTGTTGGAAGATTTTAAATCACAGTTTCAACTTCAGTGCTTATGAATGGTCTGTTCATATTTTCTATTTCTTCCTGATTCAGTCTTGGCAGGTTGTGCATTTCTAAGATTTTGTCCATTTCTTCCAGGTTGTCCATTTTATTGGCATAGAGTTGCTTGTAGTAATCTCTCATGATCTTTTGTATTTTGTATTTCTGCAGTGTCAGACCCTTCCTGTGTCCATTAAAGGAATCTCCAATTTCTCTCTCTCTCTCTCTCTCTCTCTCTCTCTCTCTCTCTCTCCCTCTCTCCCTCTCTCCCTCTCTCCCTCTCTCCCTCTCTCCCTCTCTCTCTCTCCCCCTCCTTCACCCCGGGTCAGAGATGCATTGCAAGTCACAGCCCCCGCCCCCCAACCCTGTTCCTTGCTGCCTCCCTATTTCCTTTCCTGGGGCCTTTCCCGTACTAAAATCCTGGTGAGTTTAATCCCATGTTGGCATCTGCAGCTCAGAGGACTCAAAATACCACAAAGTGTTTTGCTCTTTTTCAAATATGTAAGGATAACGATAGAATAAACACAGACTCTTAAAGGTATCACTAAATTCCTAAGCAGTTTTTGTTATTATGTATTACTGTTTACATCTCACGTGTCTGCGCTTCTTTCAACCCTCCTGCTGTCACCCTCCTCCAGACTTCAACGTCTTTCCCCAAGGTTACTCATCCTCCTGAGGGTCTCCCTGAAAGTGCCCTTGTTCCCCTCTAAGCCGTTCTCCACGTGGTACCCAGGGAATGCTTCCTAAATGCGGATATTTAACAAACAGAGTCTTGCCTAATTCTTTTAGTGAATGAACAGGACCTGACAGGCTAAAATCATCATGCACTTCTATTCTTTCTCCCATGGACTTTCAGACCTGCATTTCTGTGCCTACTTTCTCCATGTCAGGATGAAATCTCAAGCAGATCCTGTACCTTTTGTGAGTACTCTAGAAAGAATCAAATAGGCCCTTTGCCCTGGCATGTAAAATCCAGTTCCATCAAATAGTTTTCTAACCAGTTGAGTTACATCTGAGTGAGTTTTCCCTCCTACCCCAGTTTGGCCTGTACCAGTTTGGAAACCTCTTTGTGGCAGGGGCTGCTTCTTTGCATTTAGCTTTCCACCCCAGGCTAAGTTCTGCTCATATTCAAGTCACATAAATGTCATTTCCACAGGGGAGATTTCTCTCTTCTTTTTCATCCTAACCCTTAACAAGTTGTGAATATACAGCTATTTCTGTGAATCACTGTTTAATAGTTAATGTGGTTTTGGGGGGGTTTTTTTGTTTGTTTTTTTGCGGTACGCGGGCCTCTCACTGTTGTGGCCTCTCCCGTTGCGGAGCACAGGCTCCGGACGCGCAGGCTCAGCGGCCATGGCTCACAGGCCCAGCCGCTCCGCGGCATGTGGGATCTTCCCGGACTGGGGCACGAACCTGTGTCCCCTGCATCGGCAGGTGGACCCTCAACTACTGCACCACCAGGGAAGCCCCAATAGTTAATGTTTTTATCCCTCACTAGACTATAATATGTATGAAGGCAGAGACTGTGTGTGTTTATTTTTTTGGCAGCCCAAATCCTGCATCCTTAATAGTCTCTCAATAAAATATTTGTTTTGATAAATGAATATGAAAAAATTTTCTTACTGGATACTGGAGAGTATGACAACTATCATGGAAGTGTAAGGGATGTTTAAAAGGGGTCCTTTAAAAAAAATTGTTTCAAAACCCTGTTCTGGTTCCCTACAATGGTGACACTAAGGTCAGCATGGGTTTTTATACATTATTTCTCCACCAAGAGCAGGCTCAAGCGTGTGATTTGGAGGAAGGATTTGGGGAGCAAAACTATAGCATGAAACAGAAGCAGCATCAGAAATGTCAGATAGAATTCTGTTTCTCAAGTACTAGTCTTTTGTTTAAATAATGAACCGTTCCTCAGGAGAAAACTCAGAGGAAGGGATAATATGTGTCCCATGTACTCCACCCAATGCTTTGTGAAGAAAATGGAAAACAAGAACCAAGAAATGCAAACCTGAAGCGAGCATTTTCCTTTGGGATAAGTTAAAAGTGGTTGGAAAGAAAGCTCTGGATGGGATTGTCTTCCCTTATTTGGACTCCAGACCCACAAGGTGCTTCAAGAGGAGATGGAAATCTGGATTTGAATGTGAAATACCCTGGGGTTAAATGTGAACTAGTTTATTTTTTTTCAAAATATTGTGCATGGACTTCCCTGGTGGCGCAGTGGTTGAGAGTTCTCCTGCCGATGCAGGGGACACGGGTTCGTGCCCTGGTCCGGGAGGATCCCACATGCCGCAGAGCGGCTGGGCCCGTGAGCCATGACCGCTGAGCCTGTGCGTCCAGAGCCTGTGCTCCGCAATGGGAGAGGCCACAACAGTGAGAGGCCCGCGTACCGCAAAAAAAAAAAAAAAATTTTTATAGTATATTTGTTTATATCTAAAAAAATATTGCAGGGGTTTTGATTTTCCTCATGAATATAGATGCAAAAAAAAAAGTTAGTGAGTAGCTTGATTATGGACACAGTTACACCTCTGAGGTAGAAGCGAATTTCAAAGGGGATTATGGGAGACAGAGATTATGGGCAATATCCCTTCTTCTCTCCTACTCATAGCTCAATCCCTCTGCCCCAGCAAAGAGGACCTCATGTTTCAGTGTCACGAACTCAGGCAAACTGTCTTTCTGCCCTGTAGGTGAGTAACTATGGGGAAGGATGGCAGGTATGATGCTCCATGCCCTCCACTGTCTACCTCCCAGCGCCTACACCTCCCCCCATCTCAGATTTGTATTATCCTGGGGCTGAGTCATAATTCTTGGTTCCCAGAGATCCCTTCCCATTCTCATTTCCTTTAAGGATTCTACTGAGCGATTCTGGGCTTCTGCCTCTTCCCTTCCCACCTTCCTTTCATGGCTGCATATACCAGCCCTTCCTCTCTTCAGTAGTCCTGTTATGGTCATGCCACTATCACTCCCCCTGTCCTTCATCTCCCTTTCCCTGTTCTCCTGTGTTGGTTGTTAAGGGACAGCACAGAGTTAAATTTATCATGCCCCTAAGAAAATGGAAATGCCCAGGTCCCTCACTTTCACTGGTCTCTTCCATGGCCCTATGTCTAAATTTGTTTTAGTAGTTTTTGTATTTTTTTTCCTAAAGAAGACCTTCAAAATTGAATTCATTTTAGACCCCATAAAACCTAGATCTACCTCTGGGGTGCATATGGATGAAAGGTGATTATGAGTGGACCTCCTCCATCTCAAAATCAAAGGGATCTGATGTCTATGTCTCATGTGCTCATGCAGGGTCGGTTGTCACTGGCTGTGCTTGTGGCTACGGCTGTGGCTCCTGGGATGTCGGGGTGGGGGAAACCACATGCCACTATCAGAGCAACCCAGTAGATTGGACCACTGCCTGCTGCTGCCGCCTGACCTGAGAGGGAGGAGAATGAAAACCTAATTGTGACTGTAATGAAACCATGATCCCAAATAGGAAACCTGACTCAAACTGTCCCTTTCATTTGTTCACAACTCTGCTTCTTGGGTAACAAAAACAATTTTTGCATTTTTCTGTGTTTATATTTTTGATATTATCATCCATGGCCTGGGACTCCTCTAGCCAGAAAATGTTCCCCACATCCCAGTTATGCCATCTCAGGAAAAATTAGGAAAAATATGTGCAGAATGGGACAAACTGAGATAGACACTCCAGCCCCTTGGTCCCTCAGTATTTAACAAAAGGATAATGACTCTATGCCAAACACTTTGCTTGGACTGGAGGTACAGAGAGACGAAGTAACACACATGTCCTTATGAAGCCCACCAACTAGAATGGTGGCCAGACAGACTTTCCAACAAGTAGGCAGGCAAGAGCAGCTTTGAAAGAATCAACTTCTACATAGATACAATGGAATATTACTCAGCCATAAAAAAGAATGAAATAATGCCATTTGCAACAACATGTATGGACCTAGAGATTATCATACTAAGTGAAGTAAGGCAGACAGAGAAAGACAAATATCTTATGAGATCGCTTATATGTGGAATCTAAAAAAATGATACAAATGAACATATTTCCGAAACAGAAACAGACACACAGACATAGAAAACAAACTTATGCTTACCAAACAGAAAGCAGGGGCTGGGGGAGGATAAATTAGGAGTTTGGGATTAACGTATACACACTATTATATATAAAATAGATAATCAACAAGGACTCACTGTATAGCACAGGGAGCTCTACTCAATAATCTGTAATTATGTGTATGGGAAAAGAATCTGAAAAAGACTATATATATATATATATATATATATATATATACACATAATTAGAATAAATATAGAATAAAAGAATAAAGTTCTAGATTTTTGGCTTGCATGTGTACTCTTTCCTAGACTTATGTGCCAGAGATCTTTTTGATCAAGGTCCCAATTTGCCCTTGTTTTCTCCCCTGGAACAAAAGAGAAACCCAGCCCTTCCCTGTCATTGAGCCTTACCTTGGTTCATCACCCTGGGGTATAAACATTTGCAGAATGCCAAGGGGAGGATTCAAAATATTGGCACCAATGTTGAGTGATCCAATGACTGGGTAACAAGTCCTTTATAAGTTGAGAAGCTTCCAGTTCATGATGTAATGTTGAAGGAGGGCAAAACCCAGTTATCAACTGGTAGACCATCAAAAATAATTTTAATAATAAATTACAGTGTGATTTTTAACAAATAACTCAAAAGGAAGTAAAACAAATTGAATAACATTACTACAATAAAAGTTTTCCCTTCCTGTCTGCTTAACTACGAGAGGTAGGTATCTCAAAGCTTATAACTATGAAAAGGAAAACTAGGAAAATAATTGGTTCTAAATTTATCTCTTTCTAGGATTATTCATTCATGGGTATTTAAACTACTTGGGAACAAAAGCAGCTCCATCTCTCTCATTTAAGAAATACTTTTCCAAAAGGTACCATTTCTGTTTATTAATTACTTATCAAAATTTGTTATAAGTGCTTTGTTCAGTGGGGTACTATTAATCATTGTAATAACTTAAAACTCTTATTTGTGGTAACTATAGTGAGTCTTTAAAAATATGAAATAAATCATGTCACTTTCCTGTTCAAAGCACATATTCTAATGACTTCTGATTACATGTAAAATAAAATCCAAAGTATTTATCATGGCCAAGAAAACCCTGCATCTACTCACTGGTTATAGCTCCGACCTCATTTCTGATCCTTGCTCACTTTGCCCAGGCCACATCTGCACTCTTGGTGTTCCTGTGAGTTCTAGCCACCCTCCCACCTCATGGCCTTCCTACTCTGTGTCCCCCAGAGAGACACAAGGTCAATCCTTAATATTTTTCAGAGATGTCTTCCCAGCGGGCTCTGCCTCTTGTCCTGTTTTATTTTGTTTTGTTTTCCCATAATGCTTCTCAGTTCTGACATCATAGTATGTATTTATCTCTTAATATATTAGTTATCTCCCCTCGTGGAACGTGTGATCCAGGAAAGAAGAGAGCTCATTTAATTTGCATATCGAGTGCTTAGAATAGTGCCTGGTCCATGGAAGTGCTATAATGAACAAATGGATTCGTCCACTACCAAGTCCAAGTCTGAGTCAGCTCCTTCTCTTCGTTTCCATTCCTCTTCCTTCACCTCAGCCTTGGTCACTGAGGGACAGATGTTGCTTTAACTACTCCATGGATCCCATTTTCAAGTTGCCTGTAGGAGATGTAGCTATACATCAGAAGACACCTCTTTGAAAGAAAAGGGCCAAAGAGTGAAGATGGAGACCAGAGAGGTTGGCAACAGCAGAAGCAGAAGTTGGATTTTGTAGCTCTGGCTGGCATAGTTCACTGCACACTTAGTGGCCAGTTTCCCCTTTCTCAGTGTTAACAGCATCTTGATTTCATTCCGGGTAGTCATGTGCCCAGTCCCCCAAAATAAATTATTGCTTAAGCCGATAGTGGAGTTCCTGCTCCGCTTAGCCAAATATTCTCTTTCTTACACACCCTTACATGGGTGGAGTTGTGGCCTGTGACCCAAATCAGGCTGAGAAAACAAAGAACTCTGCTTGGGCCTTCTGGAAAAGAGTTTCCTTCCTGAATTAAAACAACCAGAGATTCAAAATTATCCATGATCCTTGTTGCTTTGGTCGTGTTGTGAGGATGTGAGGTCTGGCGCTGTGACCCTGGAGCTAGTCAGTCATGTGACCTTTGAGGGAAAATTGCAAGGATTGTGAAGCAGAAGGAGGGAAAGAATCTAAGGCTGTAATCATGTTATTCAGCCACTGAAAAAACTCTAGAATCATCAAAACCTCATTTCTTCATAACTAAATACCCAATGTTCTTATGTATCCATTTAACAGATACTTACCAAGTTCTGCTGTGCGACAGGTACTGGCATACACTGGTGGCGAAAATAGACAAAGATTTCTGCCTTCATGGAGCCTTCATTCTAATTCTAAGCCTCTTCCAGCTGGGACTTTATTACTTTCCTGCAGACAGAATTAGCCAAGGGCAATGTACTGACATCTGAGCAGATGGCAACTAGGACCCCGAGACCATACCTTTCCTACCTCTCCCTGTTGAAGGAGTGAACAAAAGAGCTACAATGAAAGATGTTAAGAAACTTGGCAATTCTTGGCAAGGTAGCTGCCAGACTTGTAGAGCTGTCAAAAAGAAAGGAGAGGGGAGAGAGAGAAAGGAGGGGAGATCTCTCTAGGCAGAGAAACAGAGCAAAGGCAGCTGCTACCACTCCAGACACACACTGGAGATTGTTTGAAGCTTTTTCTCAAAGCGTGAACCTCCCAGCTACCTTAGATCCCAAGTTCTGCCGTGTTTGTTGTTGGAGGGGAGGAAAAGCCCTCACAACAAGCCACTAGGGTATGAAACGTCCCTGCCCCTCCAACCTCTGCCTAGACAGCCCTTTCCCAGACCTGGCTGGGGGAGTCTGAGGCATAGCTCTCTTCCTTGATATCCCCGCCTCTCAGGAGGGCTGCAAAAGGATCCAGGCCTCCCCAGCACTGCTGCTTCCCTTTCTCTGCTCCCATGAGCACCTATTCCTTCTTTCTCTTCTCCCCCTCCCCTCTGGACCCATGAATTATTTTTCATCTTCTCTCCATTTCTCCCTTGACCACAGGATGCTGCCTTCCTATAGGATGAACCCATTTCTCACTTCCTTTTTCTCTTCCCCCTTCTCCAGATGATGCCCTTAGGGGCTGCTCAGTGCTCCTTAGATTTTGCTATGGATGGAAAAATAAGGCATCTCTCAGTGCCCTGGATAGCTGATATTGGAGAGGTTGATGGGGGGGGCACTTATATCCTTCATGCTCAATCCTGCTACTAGACCCCACCCCATTTCCCAACCATCTCCAGATGGCAACCTCTAACTGGAAGATTCATCCCAAAGTCCCTGCCCTCTCTATGCTCACGGGTTCTTAGAGCTGCTGCTGACACAGTGATGAACAATATAACTGATACTGTTGAGCATTTACTGTGTGCTAAGCCCTGTTAGGTGTTCTATTATTATTTTATTAACTCCTCAGTACAAGTCTATGAAGTAAGCACTGTCTTTTCCATTTTACAGAAGCGGAAGCTGGGGCTTAGAAAAGTTATATAATTTGCCCAACAGCACACAGTTATTTAGTGACCTGGTCCTGGACAGAGTGGCTCCTTTGTCTGAACAGAAAGGCGATACGGGATTTGGGGAAGAGGGCTGGCCACTTTGGCCCCTGTCTTAGCTCTTCATCCCTCCCACAGAGTGTCAGCCCTCAGGTTATACCAGATCTCCCAACGAGCATCACTAATGAAAGTAATCTGTCCTCTTGTACCTCACGTAAATAGTCATATGAGTATGAAGGCGCTTGCTCACCCCATACGTGTTCTCATGCACCTGGGTTCAGGCTGTCAACTCATCATAGTAAAGCAGGTTGTCTAACTACTTCCCCCTTCCAGAAGGAAGGAGATAAGAATAATTGGGAAGAGGACTTCACTCAAAATCTAAGGCCTCTCTATGACAATCTCTAGGTCCATCCACATCTCTACAAATACAGAGTTAAGTAAGTCAGAAAGAGAAAAACAAATATTGTATATTAATGCATATATGTGGAATCTGAAAAAATTGGTATAGACGATCTTATTTACAAAGCAGAAATAGAGACACAGACGTGAAGAGCAAAAGTATGGATACCAAGTGGGAAATGGGAGGGTGGGATGAATTGGGAGATTGGGATTAACATACATACACTATTGATACTTTGTATAAAATAGATAACAAATGAGAACCTACTGTATAGCACAGGGAACTCTACTCAGTGCTCTGTGGTGACCTAAATGGGAAGGAAATCCAAAAAAAGAGGGGATATATATATATATATATATATATATACACACACACACGTATAGCTGATTCACTTTGCTGTACAGTAGAAACTAACACAACATTGTAAAGCAGCTATACTCCAGTAAAAATTAAAAAAGAAAAAATCTAAAACCTCTGGTTTTCTCTCCCCCACCCGATGCCACGCAGGGTACATTGTCACCAGATGCTCATGTGGCTATGCTTGTGGCTCCTGGGATGGCCAAGGGGAAAGCCACATGCCATCGGCACTGTCACTGCAATTCTGTAGGGTGGACCAGCCTTTGCCACCTAATCTAAGTAAAGGAGGTAGAGATCTCAGTCTGGGGATCATGTAAGCAATAAAAACATGGCCCCAACCAGAAAACCTCCACCCCTCTTATTCAAATCATGACTTCTCAACTCAAGTCCCCTCTGCCTGTGACCCTCTGTTTCTCAAATAGTAAAGATAGCCTATGTGTCTCTCTGTGCTTGTGTTTTTGATGTTACTAGCCCCTCACCTGGGTCTTCTCTATCTATAGGATGTCTCCCCTACCCCAACTTCTCCAATGTGTTCTGGGATGGGGGAGCCTATGAAGAGTATCAGAAGAACTGAAATTAACATCCCACCCTCACCACCGTCATCTCATTCTTCAACAAACATTGAGCAACCCTGCTCCAGGCTCTGTTCCCGGCACTAGAGATATAGAGAAGTAAACCACACACATTCCCTAAAAGTGCACACCGTTTAGAACATTCCTTAGACTTCACAACAAGTAGGCTTTGCCTCTGCTCCTGGGTAGTCTAGCTATCACTCCCCCAATCACCACACACTGTTTTAAAATATGGATTTTATTAATATTTAGTATGTCAATGTCAGTATCCCAGGAGATGGCTGCCACTGAAGATGGTTTGTTATACTCATAGATCTCAAAATAAAGAGGCGTGCCATGCCATGCCATGGGAGGTCACACAGGGAAGCACTTGGGTCATTCAGGAGGCACAGGGAGTGGGAGGGGGATGGGCAAGAGCCTTTATTGTGGTTTCCATGGGGAGGAACAGGTGAGGCAGAGTAAACAGGTGTGGGACTAACTAGTCTGAGTAGCTTCAGCAGCTCAGAGGCACGGGGGCCGTCCTAATTATCTGCTACCTGACCTTGTGATGATTATGGCAGGTGGATAGTGGGGTCTCCTGAGTGTGGGACCCCAATAAAGGAGGTAAATGAGGTTATGGGCTCAATTGTTTGCTTTGAATATGAACTCACAGGAGAGTTGTTTGCTATCTCTAGAATTTAGCTAACCTGGGGAAGGGCAGTCCCTCCTGGGTCAGCAAGTCCCCAAGAGGTCAAAGCATCAGGAAATAAAAGGCATGGTTAATACACACACTTTTTACAGGTGGTCTGTTTTCCTGCCATTCCCTCTAGGAAAGGGTCCTGACATGTAACTCCTTTTTAGACTACTGCAATGCTCCAGCCTGAGAATTCCTATATAATGCCTCAGATCCTTCCTAATGTGCTAGAATTTCTATGTCACAAGCTCAGGGAGACATTCGTCATATTGTGAGCAATTTTTGCGGTACAAGCAGTGGGCAGCTGGGCAAAATGTAGGTACCAGCTGAATCCCAGATC